GCAAGAACTCATCTGGAACAAATAATTTTTGGATGCCACCCAAAGTATTATCCAGAGGGAGAGACCAGTGTCTGAATTTGTGGAGGGAGCCGATGCTGCCCACTGGTGTATTCTGGTGGTACTAAGTTTCTCGATGGTAATAATCCATATTTTGCTTGCTCTGCACTTTAACCAAATCCAGGAAGGCTATTTTTACCCCAAGAGTTGATATCTCAATACTTTATCGTCCTCAATGCTTTTATTTTTCACAAGCAGCTTTTTAATTTTAAAAAATTGGAAATGGTACATATGTGAAATGGAAGCCCAACTAAGGCTCTTTCAAAGGATGCCAATTTTCCCCCACTTTGCACATTTCGAGAGTTTTTAATCCTAGATAGAAAGCATTGTGAATGTTATGCTGGGTCTCTGTTAGCTGTAAAATGGGTTGTTCGAAACATAGCTTGAGGGGTCTTTGGAAAAACAGAGGTGCCCCTGGCTTTGTTCTCAAGGATGATGTCTCTTTTTTATTATTATTATGGGCAAAATGGACTGTACTGAGCTTTTTAAAATAATGAAATGGTCTATGTACATCCATACATAATTTAAACAATTAAATTAAGGTAGATTTCACATCTCAATGATACTTCATTGTTTACATTGCTTGAATGACTTAAACTACACACAAATCTGGATTTATTCATATGCATGGAATACTAACTTAATAGCATAATATGCACCACTGATTTTTGCCTTGAATAGCTCAATTTATTTTATTTTTTTATTTTGCAGTAGGGAAGCAACAGAATTGATGGAAAAGCAGCCAAAGATCGATCAGGGGAGATCTAACCAAAACCAAGAGGCAGAAAAAAAGCAAATTCATTTCAGGTGGGCTGAATGAAGCAGGCAAGCTAGGATTACCACATCTGGGTAGCCAATACTGTAGTGACGTCACCATTTAGCAAACAAAAAGAAAAAGAAAAGAAAAAGAAAAAAAAATCCTCCATTTTCTTGTAGCCACCATCCTAACGGTTATCCAGATGTTCATAGCCCAGAGATGGTTGCCTTAAAAGTTAAATCCGAGAGACGTTGTGTGTGCTGGGAAGTTGGTGTTCCTGATCTCCAATACCAGGGACTGTTTTGACTTTAATTAGGAAGCACAAAAGCTCAAGGCTATTGGCAAGAGGTGCATCACATCTGCTTTTTGTCATTCCAGATGGATTTTTTTTTCTTTTTTGGGTGGCTTTTCTTCCTTTGCTCTTTAGCACCACCTGCCGGATTTGACTGTCAAACTGGCCCCTGGCCCAAGGAACACAATACCTCTTGGTCAACTCTGCAAGAGTTTTCCCTTTCTAAGGTCAAGCCTTTGTGTATGGACTATTTCATTTTGGCCGTTTTTGTTACCCAAACTGTTACAATGCTATTTGACAGAGACAGGAAGGATAGACCATATACAAACGATAGATACAGACAGATGATTTAGATAGATAGATATAAACAGACAGATATACAGGATAGATATAATGATGAGGATTGATGATATAGATGATATAGGTAGATGATAGATATATATGACAGGTGTGTGTGTGCATATGAGAGAGAGACAGAGACAGAGAATAGTTGATAGACAAATGATAGAGATACACAGACGGATAGATGATTGGGAGATAGATGATATAAACAGACAGGAGAGATGATAGATGATTGATAATAGGTGAGTGAGATAGATGAGTGTGTGTGTGTGTGTGTGTGTGTGTGTGTGTGTGAGAGAGAGAGAGAGAGAGAGAGAGAGAGAGAGAGAGAGAGAGGGAGAGATCAACAACTCAAGATAATTTTCAAGATGGCTATAACCTTCAAGAGCCACGAGTCAAGAGCATGTTTGATGCTGCAATCGGCAGTATTTCACGTGGGTCTAAGTGTTAAAAGGCATCCTCAGAAGACAAACACAAGATAGAGACGTGAGATCTCAAGAGTCTGAAAATGTAATTTTTGCATGCCTTCTGCCGCATTCACGTAACACATTCGACCGGATTATTGAATTCATCCACTTTCGGAGTTCAAGGAACCCCCCCCAAAAAATTCCCATCCCAACAATTTTGGTTCTTACGACAGGAATAATTGGAACAGCAATCAGGTTTTAGACATCCCAACCAAATCTCTGTTCTCAGCAAGGTCATCTTTCCTCCCCCCCCCCACATCGTCTCTAGATCGGGGATCTCCAAATTTGGCAACTTTAAACCTTGTGGACTTTCAGCTCCCTGAATTCCTCAGCCAGCCATGTTGGGAGTTGAAGTCCACAAGTCTTAAAGTCTGGAGACCTCTAATCTAGATAATTTATGGTCTATCATTTGCTGGAAAGAATATTTAAACTGGTAGATTCTAAAGAGGATGTAGGTTCAACGCTCTGCCCTCACATCCATCCATTGGAAATAGCTCAGGATTGTATAAAACTAAGGGCAAACCAATCAGTGTTGATATAGTTACAACAGACACAATAAAACAATAAAACACAAGCTTCAAGCACAGTTCTGTGCATAAAACAATCACAAAAATAGAAATTTATTTAAAGCTGAAAGTGCCTCTGCCCCACATCTAATGGCAAGCATTCACTTAGTGGTATAAATGGTTCTTGGAATCTGTTTATCTCCAAATGAAACCCCCTAAATCTGCTGTGATTATGCTATTCTTTTTTAAAAATTATTTTTGTATGGGGGAATCCACATTGTAACTGACATTGAACAAATCAAGAATTTTGTATGCGGGAATGCAAGTCAATAATTTTGTCTGTGGGAAACCACATTCTAACGGATGTTGAAGAAGTCAAGAATTACCAGATATTCTCAGTTGCTGTGGTTTGGCTTTGGAGTCAAATCTGCATAGCTACAAATCCACAGCACCATCCAATTAGGAAATGTAGTACAATAGCACCACACTATAAAAAAAGATGCTGAGGCTCTAGAAAAAGTGCAGAGAAGAGCAACCAGGATGATTAGGGGACTGGAGGTTAAAACATACGATGAACGGTTGCAGGAGCTGGGCCTGGCTAGTCTAGTGAAGAGAAGGATCAGAGGAGACAGGATAGCAGTCTTGTAATATTTGAGGGGTTGCCATAGAGAGGAGAAGGGGGTCAAGCTATTCTCTAAGCCACCTGAAGGACAGACAAGGAATAATGGATGGAAACTGATCAAGGAGAGATTCAACCTGGAAATAAGAGAATCAACCAATGGAACAGAAGTTGCCTTCAGAAGTTGTGGGAGCTTAATCACTGGAAGCTTTCAAGGGACTGGACTGCCACCTGCCAGAAATGGAGTAGGGTCTCCTGCTTTGGCAGGGGGTGGACTAGATGACCTATAAGGTCCCTTTCAACTCTGTTATTGTTCTGTATGTAGAGGTTTTACGCATACCTGCTATTGAGAAATGCTCTTAATGAAAATGAGGGCCTGTTTCTGAAAAGCCAAGCTCTTTCATCTCAGCAATTTTTCTTTAATCTAAACATGTACTTGGAAGGGAAAGTAACAGCACACACATCATCAACTTAATAGCATTTAAAATGAGTTTAGCTGGACCGCCGAGCAACCTGCGAACCATTTTTTAAAATTTTGTTTTGCTTTTCCGATTGTTGTTCTTCAAAATTAGCAGATGTCAAAGGGGACTCAAGGCATCCCAAGAAGACAACCAATGTGGGAAGTGACCATTCCTGGTCAAGGTATTGAAAGTAATGATCAAAACTCCAGGTGGAAATAAATCAATTTGGGGCATCAGATTCCCAAGGCCCGCTTTATCCAGGCACTGCTACGAGTTCCTAACCTCCATAGATTTGTGGGTCAACTTTCCCGAGATCTGAAAATGGAGATATTCCAGGATTCAATCTAGATCGGTCACTGGGAATAGAGGTTGTCTTCTGAACTTTCAGACTCATGGTGGAACCCATCCTCGGGGAATTTCTCTCTCTCACCAGATTGTGTGCTTTGAGTTATTCTGTCTTTTCTGGTAAGAGGGAAGTTCCCTGAGGATCGGCTCCACTATGAGTCCAAAGGTTTGGAAGACTAAAACTCTGGTCCCACTAACTGACCCAGATTCGATCCTGCAACATTATCTTGAGACCAGTGGTGGGTATTCAAAATTTTTTTACTACCAGTCATGTGAGTGTGGCTTGGTGGGCTTGGTGTGTGTGGCAGGGGAAGGATACTGCAAAATCCCCCTTCCCTCCCCACCCCACTAACCTGCTTTCCAGCTCCGTTCTCCTGTGCAGGGCAAACAAAGGAGACCCAGCCGATCAGCTGGGACTCAATGGGAGGCAGGGAAGAGATGGGGTTGGCGGGGCCAGTCAGAGGTGCCAATGGCTGCTTTTCCGAACTACTCAAAATTTCTGCTACTGGTGGTTCTCCAGAACTGGTCAGAACCTGCTGAATACCACCTCTGCCTGGGACACATTTATTTACCTTCATTCACGGAGTGGTTCTGACATAGATCTGAAGATTGAGGGCAGAAGTAGGCAACTAGGTTTTCCTCCCGCAAATGTTCTGGATTTCAACTGAATCAGCTTCAGCAACCACAGATGGTGCCAAAGGATTGTAGAGGACGTGACCCAAAGCCTCTGATTTAATATTCCCCACCTCCCGCAAACATCTATTTTCCTCTTTCCACCCTGCCTCAACTTCATCTGCGATTGAGGAAAAGTGGGCCAAAGCACTCAGGAAAACAAGTTTGAAGGACAATCTAAGTGTCCAGGGAGGCCCCCGAAGTATCATATACCATTTGTGGAGCTTCAAAAGCATGGAAGAGTTTTAATCCCAGTCCAAAGATTCCTTGAGGACATTTGGGGAGCCATTCAGTCTACCAAAGCATCATCATCGTGACGCAAAGCAATAGGTTGTTTGTATTGACGTTTCCATGTCAATAAACGGAAAATCCCATTTCATAAAGGATTGTTTGCAAAATGGGGCTGTATCCCAACCCCTTGAGGCTGCTTCCGTGTCCACAGACTCCCGACAAAGCAATAAGAAAAAAACAGAACGAAAGAGAATTGTTGTACCTTTTTTGTTTTTTTTGCATCTATGAACACGTGCAAAGTAATCTGCAGAAAACATTTAAGCCCTCGGTGTGACAACTTAAGTCATATTTTTCATTCTACCCGCCTGACCTTTTTTACTTTCTCACAAAGCATGAAAAAGTATCCAGAGATTAAAAAATAGGTGGTGTTTTGTGTTTTACTGTGGCAATAATGCCAGATGCAACTTACAGGAGATGGAAAACAAACAGAACCCAAAGTTTTGCACACACACACAAAAAATAGATTAAAGTGACGTGTCGCTAACCAACAATCATGTGCGTGACTGAGAATTTGGAACTCTGATCAAAAGCAGATTTCCTAATAAATTAGTTGAACCAACCAAAAATAATAAAAAATAAATCCAGAAACAAAACCCCACCCGCCTATAAAACATAATACAAATAATTTTCATCTTTCAGTCAATGTAAAACCTTCAGGAACAAATGATTTCTTCTCTTTATATAGATATAGACATAATTATAGATTTCCTGAACATTTTTTTTAAATAACTTTTTTTTTTGCTTAGGAAGAAGAAACACACAAATAGAAAGAAAACCTGAAGATGGTTGAGATTGATCCTGAGAGAACGAGGTTATTTTGAAGAAAATTCATGAATTTGGGGGTATAGATTTTGAGCAAATGTCCCTGAAAATTACATGGGTTTGTAGCAGCAATGTTTCAAAAAATGAAGAACAACTCCATCCCGGGAATTAGGAAACGTAAACTGGGTAAGGAGAGGAGGATAAGGAAGTCAGAATGGCATTTGTGACTCTACAGTCCCATCCTTGAAGCTATCCATATTGTGTTCTCTGCTTCTATGACCTGGTCTTCATCCAGTAGAAAATGTCCTATCTCGTCTCCTTTCTTCTCTTCTTGACTTCAATCTGGAATCAACTTCTCAGAACATTTCTAAGTGACTCAAGTCACGTCCCCCAGTGGTAAGAAGATTATGGTGACCAAAGGCTTACTGCTTTAGGACAGGGGGTCTTCAAACTTGGCCACTTTTAAGACTTGTGGACTTCAACTCCCAGAATCCCTCAGCCAGCATGGAATTCTGGGAGTTGAAGTCCACAAGTTTTAAAGTTGCCAAGCTTGGAGACCCTTTCTTTAGGAAACGAAGGTCCATTGAGAGGGAGCAGAGCCTACCACATCCTTGGGATTTTCTTTGAGGCTTTTCCAGGTTGGGATCTGGAACTTTGGTGTCCTCTTTCCAAACTGTGATCATCTTGCTTTAAGGTGGGTAGGACTGTTTCAATTTATTTCCAGGATCCAAACTGCAGAAAATTACCAATGTTTGGTCTGAAATGACTCCAAAGAACCCAGAGAAAAGTAGATCCTTGGTGTTCTCTGAGCTTGCTTGTTTTCTTGCAGATGTTTCCTTACCCAACTAGGTTGATGCTAGCACTGATGTTACCTACTTTGGGTAAGGAAACATCTGCAAGAAAACAAACAAGCTCAGAGAGCACCAAGGACCCCTCATATCAACCCTGAGCTACAAATATTCTCCTTTATCAGTACCAGAGAAGAGCTTCAGGCAATGTGCAACTTCTGGCTCAGCACAACTTCAGAGCATTTTTTTTAGGAATCTTACCTGTGCTTTGTGTTCAAGCGGGCCAAAACTAGAGACGTTATCTCCTACCAAAAGGTGAGAATCCATATCATCACTTAAGGAGCAGAAGAAGAAAATCTACAAATCTCTGAATAATATCTAGTCAACTTGCAGAGGTCAGACTAGGAATAAGGGACTGGCATCCTATGGCTGGCACAGACAACGATTTAACAACGTTCAGTCTCTTGTTGGACTCATTACTTCAACTCAAAAGGTGGAAAGAAATCTGCAGCGGTCTAACCCTGGGAAAAAAGTAAAGTGGAAATACTTCCGTCCCACGCGATGCCCAACACAGTCACTAACGTGGAACGCAGGGCAATGTATTTTTTCAAGAGGCAACTGGACTTTCTGTTTTTTCTTTGAAGACATTTCGCTTCTCATCCAAAAAGCTTCATCATCTTTGGAGAAGAAGTGAAGCGTCGTCAAAGAACTGAAGAAGCTTCTTGGATGAAAAGCAAAACGTCTTCAAAAAAACCCCCAAAGTCCAGTTGCCTCCTGAAAAAAAAAAAAGCACCTTTGGGAGAACCATATCCTGGAGGACTCCACCTAAGAATCTCCAGAGGCCACACAGGGCAACAAAGAACCTCATTGTTGTTAGTTGTGAAGTTGTGTCCGACCCATCGCAACCCCATGGACAACGTTCCTCCAAGCTCTCCTGTCCTCTACCATCCTCCAGAGTCCATTTAAGCTCACTCCGACTGCTTCAGTGAGTCCATCCAGCCACCTCCTTCTCTGCCGTCCCCTTCTTCTATTGCCCTCCATCGCTTGGCCACACCATTTCATTCATGCACACTGCAAGGAAGGATTCTCTTAATGACGGACTATCCTTTGGTTTCATCTGACTTCCATCTGACATCAAGCCAGAAGAAGCCTCCCAGGGTTCCAACTGCTCCCAAGTTCTCAGAGGATCAAAGTCATTGCCGATGGGAAAGAATCAAAGGTGTGCTCAGGAAGCATTAAGAGGAAATCAAAGTTTGGAAAAGAAGAACAAGGAAAGAAACCCAACCACAGAAAGAGCATCAACCTGATTTGAAATTTCACAGCCGTGTGCTACAAAGTGTACTCATTGTTTCTTGTTTTGTTTTCTTTTTCAGCCGATACAAAAATAATGTATTGCAACTCAAAAGTGCTTTTTAGTTTTTGTTCTTTTTAAAATAAACAGTTGACTTTTTTTTCTTTATCAAATAAAATATTTACACCATTATTATTATTTTTTTTGCTTTCCAGAATCCGAAACGTTCTTCACGCTATTACCATAGGGACGTCGTCTGAGAAACCTGTGATCATGGCGGCTTCGTCGTCTTCATCTCCTGGTAAACCAAGTCACAAGGTTAATTGACACACGGTGACAATGAGAGACATTCAAGGCATGAAGAAGTGCAGAGGTGGGCATGAGGGATCACTGGGGACCATCCCTACCTCCTCATCGTGATCCATAGAATCATCAGTTTGGAAAAGCCCAATAAAAGATGGTTAACGGGGGGATTTGAAGACTAGTGCAATGTTTGATCTAACCTGTTGAGTGTTCTTTTATATTACCTTTTACATATATATTATGATCGGATGTTGGATCAATTTGATCATTGGATAGAGATCCTCCCCACCTGGAATATTTGTTTATTTAATATAGTATTCTTGTTAGATAGGGATGGATTATAACTATTTGTAGACCCATTATGTAAAGGGGAGGAGAATCTATTATCTCTCTCTCTCTCTCTCTAATCTCTTTCTCTATCTTTAACTATATCTATCTATATCTATCTCTAACTATATCTATCTCTCTATCTCTAATCTACCATCTCTCTATCTTTATCTCTCTAATCTCTATCTCTCTATCTCTAACTATATCTATCTATCTATCTATCTATCTATCTATCTATCTATCTATCTAT